GGACCAGAAAGTTTTATTTAACATTGAATGTCGCCAATTTCATCTTCTAATCAACCGTTTTCCATTCTATAGCAACCTGATAAATATAAGAATTAACCCGTTATCCAATGTTGGTAAATCTTGAAGCTTTAAAAGTCTTTCAAATAAAACATGACTCTTTTTAGATTAAAGATGTTTTTTTTTTTAAGTTTTTTTTGGTGGGGGTGTGGAAGTTTTTGCTACCCCTAATAAACCTATCGCCTAAACAAAAAAATTATAATTACTCATTAGTCAAGAATCCCCTAATGACGAATTATCTCTTTTGTCAGTTATCGATGGATCAATAAATGATATTTCGGAGAAAAAAAAACACGGACTTATTAATATTGGTAGCAAAAAACATAAAATATTCACAGATGCCAAAAAGAAAGATTTATATAAGATTAGATCTAAATCAGACAAAAAGTAATATGCTAGTTCTTTATTTACGCAAAACAGTCATCAGTATTGATTCGGCAAATATTTATGTGTATAAAATTACTATCGACTACAAATTATGACACCAAATTATTACAGGTCAATAATTTAATATTTAGCGTCAATACTAAGTTCAAATCGATGTCATTTCTATGGTTAAAAATGGACGAAAATCATACATTTATTTATTAGTACTTTTTTGTAATATATATATATATTGAAATATATATACACCTGTGCGTTTTTACTTACGTTCAAAACCATAGATATTCGTCATATAATACATATTTCCCTTTTTATTGCTATTGCTAAATATCACACACACACACACACACATATATATATATATATATATATATATATACATCGCGCGACTAATTATAGATTTTTTTCGGTAATTATATGTATGTTTGTTTGCAGGCAGCTTTATAATTAATTTATTTTATTTCATTGCTCACACTCACACACATACATACATACACAGACACATCATTGCACACACTCACACAAATATACATGCACACACATACACGCACACACACACAAATACATATATATATATATATATATATATATATATATATATAGTGCCGGATTTACGTATAGGCTTAGCAGGCTGAAGCTTATAGCTTCAAAATCTAGGGGGCCGGCAGGCAAGGTGTATAATATTTTTGATAATGTCATAGGCATTTCTTACACATTGTAGACTCTACACAACCCTTCAGTAATTTTAAACACATCATCTGAGCTTTACTCAAATTGTTTAATTTAAAATTCTTCCATTTTCCTCTATTCGTGAGATTCAGGGATTTGATGGGGCCTTAAAAATGAAATAGCCTAGAGCAGTGGTTCTCAACCGGGGTCTACATGGACCCTAGGGGTCCATGTAATATTTCCGGGGGTCCACAGGCAAAACTCAATTGTTGTGTTAATTAAAAATAGTAATAATAATTATTATTATAATTATAGTAGAATATTTTATTTGTATTAAATTAATTTTCATTTAAAAATAAAGCTTAATCGTATACTATTTCTTTGATAATTAAAACCTTAAAATTTATATTAGTGAAGAATAGAAAATTGTTCTTATGTCCAATAGCTATGAAGGAGTCCACCAAGATAAAAAGAAGGGGAAAGGGGTCCATGGGTAAAAAAAGGTTGAGATCCACTGGCCTAGAGCCTCACTTCATCTAAATCTGTACATATATATATATATATATATATATATATATATATATATATATATATATATATATATATATATATATATATATCGTATATTGGCAGTAATCATTCTTTTATACACGTTGCGTTGAATACTACAGTGAATGATTTCTAAGTATTTTTTTCAATTTTTCATTTGTTCTTGCAGTTAATTTATAAAAGAAAAACACTAAAAACTTAAAGAAAAACAAAACACACACAAAGAAATATATATATGTGTGTGTGTGTGTGCGTGTGTGTATGTATGTATGTATGTATATAATAAATATTAAAAAATTTGCAATCACTTACACACTACCTACATTTGTTTCAACCATTAAGGTCTCGTCAGGCGGCAGATGCCAGTTGATACCTTAATGGTTGAAACCATGGTAGTGGGTGTGCAAGTGATTCTAAATTTCTTTAATATTTAATGCTCTGCATGTTCAATTTTTGGATTGTGTATAGACCACTTTTTAATACAACCGTCCCTTGGTCCAACTAAACACCAACCAAGGATCGTTTAAGTATATATATATATATATATATATATATATATATATATATATATATATATATATATATATATATATTCGAACAGGTTTCGTTAAATAATTTAGAGATATCATGTCGATTAGTTTTCGTTGAGATCCTTTCAATTTCGCGGATTAATTCTTAATCGAGTAAGAAAAATACCAAAATTTTCTTTCAAATAGTTTTTTTTTTTTTTTGTACTTTCAATTTCATCTGACTGAGACTTGGGAAAATAAAAGCTTTTTGAAAGAAAATTTTGATATTTTTCTTACTTGATTTTCTAAATCTACTAAAAGATTAACCCGTAAACTTGAAAGGATCACAATGAAAATTAATCGACATGATGTGCATAAGTTAACCAAATCTGTAAATCTGTTTGAATGAAATATTCTGCCGAAATATATATATATATATATATATATATATATATATATATATATATATATATATATAGATAGATAGATAGATAGATAGATAGATAATATTAGTGGTAAATATACACATACATATTCAATCATATATCTAAAATATCTAAATATATATACATACATACATGTATACACATACATATATATATTTGTATAAAAAAAAATTCCACGAGGATAGAATCCAGGTAGAACTCAAAGTCCAGGACAGTGTAAGGATATAATAAAAGGTTTAAACACTAATATATTATGGAATATTAATGTTTAAGTCTTTTATTATATATATATATATATATATATATATAATATAATATAATATAATATAATATAATATAAAAGTATAATATAAACATTAATATTCCATGGTTATAATTTATTACATTGGAATCGTAATCACGATCTAATTCATCAGACCTACAAATTCTTACTCTGTCCTGGACAGTGAGATCTCCTGATTCTCTCCTCTTTATATATATATATATATATATATATATATATATATATATATATATATATATATATATATATATATATTGACCTCTATTATCAATATCTATCTATCTATCTATTTATTTATCTATCTCTCTCTCTCTCTATATATATATATATATATATATATATAGAGAGAGAGAGAGAGAGCAAGAGAGAGACAAAGTGTTAAATGAGACATTAATAATTGTTTTGTTTTTATATATAATTGCACTAAATCAGTGAGGCGTCTTGTCCAGATGCATGTACGCTTCATTAAAATAACGCTTGTTCATTCGCCATTTTTTTCTTTTTTATTTCTGGTCTTCATTTTCATCTTCATTTTCTTCCTCTTCTTTTTCAACGCTATCTTCTTTTACTAATTTTTAGCTATCATTATTATTATTATTATTATTATTATAGATTTCTATATTTGCTATTATTCCTATTCTTTCTGTTGTTATTATTGTTACTGTTTTTCACGATAATGAAGATCTCATTTTTCTGTTCTCGCCATGCATCTAATGTTAAGTGCTACTCAATTAGATTATAAACGATCGTCTCCTCTTTGGACGCCCTCTTCAAGAAGTCGTGTTAAGGAGTGGGAGGTCCAGATCATTCCTTGATATTTTTGGTTATTACAAACCTTTTTTTTTTTTCTTTTTTAGATCCATTATGAACTTGATACAGATAAATACATTTAAGAAATGGATAAAATTGTCAAAGTCTAAATACTTAAGTTAAGAAAAATAAATAAATCTGCCAATGATACCTCAACATGACTTTGAAGATGAACTTTATTATTGTAGCTGTTGTGGTGTTGGTTGTGATAAGAGGTGACAGTTTTAAGACATGCATTTAAGTATTGTATTTTGAGCGTTATTTTTCGTAATTTTTCTTCGGGAAAAATTATCATGTCTTTTAGCTATTTTGATAATATTAACAGTAAAATACTTGTGCAATTTAATAAGTATTATTAACTCAAATTATTAATATTATTATTATTTAAATTGTTATTTAAACTATTATTTGTCTTCGCTTTATTTTAATTGTTGTGGCTTCACGAATATAATTGATTTTCAATTAATGTCATTATTGTGATAACCATTATTTCTACGTTTGAATCATTGTCATTAAAAACAGATGTTTCACTAAAATTATTAATATTAACACAAAAATCTTTAAGATTATTATCATTATTAGTAGTTTTAGAAGTAGGCGTAGTGGTAGTAGTAGTAGTTGAAGGTTAATAATTTTAATCTTTCTAGTCTGAATTAATTGTGATAATGATAAAAGGAAGGAAGATGAATTAATTCCTAAATCTTTGCGGCAATTATATAAATTGAGGTTTTGGTTTAATATTATAGATAGATAGATAGATAGATAGATAGATAGATAGATAGATAGAAGAAAAGATTGTGATACATACGCACAAATGCATATATATAATGTATATTTAAAATATATATTTAAAATACACAGAAACCTACATACATATATGTACACATATACACATATATATGAACAATGAATATATTTATATGTATGATAAATAAAATGCATAAAAAGATAGATAGATAGATAGATAGATAGATAGATAGATAGATAGATTTGATCATTTCAAACCTTATTTTTAGTGGATACTAATACTTGAATATTTGAGTACACGCTCTGCTTATCTTTTAGCAGTACAGTGTAACCCGGATATAAGAGAGTTGTCGGGACCGGAGAAGAAGTCTCTTATATCCGGGTTTCTCTTATATCCGGGTTTGGTCTATTTTGTTTACATTAACACAGGCTCTAATTTGGGAGCAGAGAAAATCTCTCTTATATCCGGGTTTCTCTTATATCGGGGTCTCTTATAT